GCTGTGAAAATAGCACTGCTATAGCTGTAGCCCAATCTATTCACTGGTTGTACCTGCAATAGCGTCAACGGCAGCACATACGAAGCTAAAGGGGAATATGTATCGTGCATCCGTTTCGTATGCGTTAGCCACACGAGTTCAGCATTTCTCAGCCCTCAGCTATATGCTGAGCAGCACTCTGATTTTCGTGCATGTTTGACGGAGTGAGAGTAATTCTTCGATTCACAGATAGTCGAACAATTCTTTAAATCGATTCTGAACTTGAAAATTCGTGCCGTTAAAAAGACGTCCGCTTGCAATAACAACAATATCTTCTTCTTGAATTCGTTATTTTACCCTCTGCGCATTGAACTGATTCTGATCATTATTGCTTTCTTCGCTCATTCGTAACACCCTATCGACAATCGTTTAACATGAATTTAGTGTATTTTTGACACGATTTGAATCTCATTTTGAATTGAAAAAAAATATATGAATAAATGACCAAGTAAATTGACTTTTTCAATGATATCTTTTATATTGTCACTTTTGAACCATCAAAATAACACCTTACCTTTATCGTCCAATGCGGTTTCTGGAACGATGGAATATAACATGAACATGTGACCTGACTTTTAAGTGATTTAAATGAAGAAAAAAAACGAGAGGTAATACATAAATGACACATTTACTTTATTCATTATTATAATAATTTACTATCGACGATAGTCTATCGTTTCAATAGTTTCAACATTTTAAGAAAAAAATAAGAATGGATTTTTTTTTTACTTTTTCATAGTGCGAAATGCATGCCGAACTGTGCAAAAGTCTCGAATATTCATGGATGCAAATCATTTAGTGATTTCCGTTCGACCGAATCATTGCGCTTCATGACAACCAATCCAAAATCAGTCTTCCCTCGATGTGTCCATTTGATCGATGTGTAAATACGTTCGCTAACGTAAATTGTTAGTTTGCATCGATTGATCAGTTTTGCTCGTTCTTTATTTAATTTTTCCAAATCAATATTACTTCTTCCATAATAATCTATAAATTGCACGCTTATTACTTTTAACTTTTCAACTTTACCGCATATTAATAAAATATCTTCAAAACGTGCCAACATACACTCAATTTGTTCAAGCGATGTTGGAATATTCGCCACGATGTCATTCAAATTAAAAACAAAAAGTCCAGTTATTTGAGATGTGAATGTATCTAACTGTCGTAAGATGAGATTAGATTTAACACCGTTCTGGCTATTGTCAAAGTAAAGCTGTTTGTATAAACCTTTTTCATAGAATTTGTTCAATACTGGACTTAGCTGATTAAATAAACTTTCATCATTAGAGACTAACGAAAGCGTTAATTTATCAAGTTTAATGGTTGAATCCTGGAGCCAGTCAATGTTATTCAAAAAACAGTTACTATTTATTGAAAAATTTCGCACATTTGGATTTAGTTCAAAAAATTTCTTTAGCAAATGAGGCGGTGGCTCTTGGTCTGAACAACATAAATTAAATTCTTCCAATTTGGCATATTTCTGAAAAATGCACTCGAATAAATTTTCATCTGTATAACATTTGAATAAAATTAAACTTTTTAAATTGGGCAAATATTCGGAGAAATGTTTTTTGGATCCAACCATAAAATTTTCTCCACTTGATTTGTTATTTAATTTTGTTAATTTTAAAACATTGAGTTTGTTAAGCGTTCGTTCGATGCAATCAATCCGAACATCATCATCAATTTCCAATTGAAGTGTGTTGAGCGATTTGTATTTCGATGCATTTCTTGAGAACTCCGGATAATCTGTACGTACACAAAACGATTGGATGAATTCACTGATACCATTTTTTGGTGATTTGTCCAAGCTGTAATGAGTGATATTCCCATCTATATAATGAAATCGGGCCGTTTTAAAATTTTCTCGAATTAAATAACCGACGATTTTATACATTTTTGTGCATGTTTGACTGAGTGAGTGCAAATCTTCTAATGATAAATAATCAAATAGAACTTCGAAACAATCGACGTTTAATTTGAAAATTCGCGGAAATGGTTCAATCGTTGCTCCATCGACTGTATTCTGGGCTTGACTTGGACCTGCAACAGTATCCATCAAAACTGCAACATTTTCGACTCTTTCTTTGCCTTCATCTAATTTTGGTTTCTTTGCACTGGACGGATTCTGATCATCATTGCTTGCTTGACTCATTTTGACAAAAAAAAAATATTTAAAAAAAGAATTTATAAACTAACACTTTCAGTAAACAGTTCTTTCAACTTGAACACCAAAATGCGACTGAATTCTTCTTTTCCTTTCACTGAGTACTTTTGCAGTCGCTTTTCATTTTTGAAACATCCATGAAGTGACATGTAAATTAGTAAAAGTGTCTACCTGTGATACAAAAGAACTGCATTTTCCTTTGTTCTCGATGTTAGGTCAAAGTCGAATTGGTACAATTGTATGCATACCTCAACCCCCCCTGATGTCAAACAATGAAAAAAGATTCATAACATACAACACCATCTCTTGGTATGCCACATATCTGTTTTTTTCTCCACAATGTGGAGAAAGTGTTTACGTATACGTATACGTTGACATTAATAATCTGTCAAAACCGTAAACACATTATTTTCATAACGCAATTTTGCGAGAGTTCCTATTAGTTGAAAAAAATTAAATTTTTGTGTGCAAACTGTAAGTTATTTTGTGATTTTATTGTGTTTAGATTGAATACGATTTCATAAATTGTTGAAAAGTGATTTTACAGTAACAAGAAATGTAAAGCAGAGAGAAAAAAACCAATAAATGAGTTTAGAACGTTTAGAATCATATGCACATTTTCGTGATATTCTAACCTCAATCGCTCTTCACTCTCAGTTTAACATTTTTTATATCAACAATTATTTTATAATTTAAACAGGAAACGCAAAATGGTTTGTTGCGATATATGCCAGCAGAATATTTCGGGAAACATTTACAAGCACAAAAGAGTTGAGCACAGTTGGGATCGAGGTGGTATTAAATTGATTAAACAGGAAGATAAAACTCTGATCGAAGCTATACAAAACGAAAAAACATTCGTTGGACCTTCGCTGTTATATTTGAAACGTCTCGCAAATTATGCGGTAACACAAAATTTTCAAGCCACATTTTTTGGAGTCGACTCCAAGCAATGCCAAGCAATCCCAATTTGAAGATAATTCTAATGTCAGCAATGCTAAACAGCGAAAAATTCAGTAGATATTTCAATGGTTGTCCGATTATCGATGTGCCTGGACGTACTTTTGATGTTCAAACTATGCATCTCGAAGAAGTATTAATCAAAACAGAATACAAAACGAGCAAAATGGCCACATATTTGGAAGAGAATCAAGTATCGCAAATTCGGCGTATAAAAGATGGTAACTATTAAATGACATACTAGATATTACATATCGGTTGCCTTATAAAGCACAAAGATTAAATCGTTGCTTAGAAAAACGCATCTTTACGTAACATATTAATTTATTGTTTATTATTTCATTCTATAGAAGACATGCCGCGATCATATCGCTTAATGTGCGACAGTCGCCTGGATTCTTATATTTTGCGAAAAGATTGTGAATCATTTGAAAACGTTTTTTCTCTCATTGAAGGCGACTACATGCCGGCCAATTATGTTCATCGTACAAAGCAACGCACCGTGTTGGGAATTGCTGCGGAAAATGGTTCACTGAATATGATGTTAAAGCTTTTGGCTTTTGGTGAAAGTGCGACCTTTAAAGATCCATTTGGTAAAAGCGCAATTGATTATGCGAAAGAAAATAAACAAGAGGAATGTTGTGAGGGTTGTGAGCTCTTAATGTGTTATGAACGTGTGACATCCACCACAACATGGAAAAATTACGTGGAAATTGGAAGAGCGTATCGATCAACACAAGGCACACAAAATATTATTGATCACAACTTACTTTTTCATGCCATTGATCATATCCATGAAAATACGTCAAAAAATGGCGCTATTCTTGTATTTTTGCCCAGCTACGACGATATATGCGAACAACATGAAAAGTTAGTAAGCGTACATGGATTACAGGATTGGGGTTATAAGATTTTTGCGCTGCATAGCGAACTAAATGATGAAAACAATGAGGGTCATGCTCATGTCTTTGATCGCATGGAAAATGGCGTTCGAAAAATAATATTATCTACAAATATTGCAGAAACAGCACTTACAATAGATGATGTCGTCTACGTTATTGATGCCGGAAAAGCAAAATCGCTGTTTTATGACGCGGAAACCAAATCGACCATTCTCGAATTAAAGTCTATTTCACAGGCATGTGCAAAACAGCGCAGTGGCAGAGCTGGTCGCGTTCAAAACGGCTTCTGTTATCGTTTGTATTCATTGGAACAATACAAAATGATGCACAAATATAAGCCAGCAGAAATTGTACGAGTGCCTATAGCAAAACTTTGTCTTAATGCGAAAATGTTGGCCGCACCTGATACATCAATTAGTGCATTTTTAGCCAAAGGAATTGAGCCACCGCCACCTGCAAATGTACGCCAAAGTATCGAATTATTAACAGAAATCAAAGCGCTAGATGCAAGCGAAAATATTACAAATTTGGGTAAACATTTGGTAAACATGCCAATCGATTGTCAATTGAGTAAGACACTCTTCTACGCAATTATTTTGCGATGTTTGGATCCCATTGTTATGATTTCCAGTGCACTGTCGGTGAAAGATTTATTCGTACTTTCATTTGAAAATACACAGGAAGTGACTGAAAAAATCAATGAAACAAAAAATCGATTCGCAGAAAATAAATATAGCGACCATCAACTGTATTTCAATATAATTCAAAATTGGTCGAAACAATTACGGGAACATCAACGAAAATTTTGTGTCGAGAATTACATTTCACAAGGTAACATGTTAAAAGCCGAAGGCATTCGACGTTTAATCTTCGACTACATATGCAAATCTGGTATGATTTCGCAATCAATGCGTGAATTGAACGAAAATTCCAGCAATTGGAATGTGGTGAACGCATGCATCATGGCTGGGTTTTATCCTAACCATATTGTGAATAATGGGAACAGCATTGGAAATACCCATCCACATCCGTCATCTGTTGTGTCACAAGGTAGCCTAAATCAACCTGGACTTGTGGTATTTGAACAAAAACAAAAACGAAAGAACGGCAACTTTGTTCTGAAAAATATTTCAGTTTTACCATCGGAAGCTGAAAGTTTGTTACCAAAATTGGAAGAACTTTTATGCCAATTTGTTCGTTATTGATACAAAAAAAATTCATATTATCGTTCCAACTTATTTTTTATATTTACCATAATTTTAATACCGATCATTCATTTATTATTAGTCAATAGTAATAGTTTCGTTTCATTTTCTGCGCAATGAATGCGATATAATAAGAAAATTACACAAATTGCCTTAGTTATAATGTACACAAAAAAAAA